AGAACTGCCTAGTTGCTGTTTACAGTGCTGATGTCACGCTTTGTTAAACGTGCAACCAAAGAAATGTTTTTAACTGTTTTAATTTTCCATTTTTCTTTGTCTCGCTTTCTATTTTTCTGGAATTATTTTCCACCATCTTTAATGTTTACATGTCTCGTGTTGTTGGTCGGGAACTGAGACATTTTTTCCCCCCCATTTTTTGCCTTTTAGCTCAAGAGGATTAAAAACTCTGATCCAAATAAGTTCAGTCTGCAGTTCTTGTTATTTTAAACTGCATTTCAACTTGTTCTTTCTTAAAGGGACATTTCACTCCAGAATTAAAGTTCAACCTGTTTACCTTTGGACTGCTCTGCAGTAGTAATCCTTCTCTTTAATATAATGTAAGTAAACAGTTCACACTCCATGGTGATCAAAGCAGCAAACCACATGTTTGAAAAACTCAGCAGCAAATGTCTCTCTTAAAGTTCACGAGGCACTTAAGAAAAATTCCCAAACCTAACGTGAGCAGTTCCACCAACCCTGAGAAGTGTGCGTCTAACATTACAGCTCAACCCGGAGGAACGGCTTTAATGTTTAGATGCTGTCAGACTGTCGTGAGCACGAGTCTCTCATTGTGGGAAAGTGCACACTTTGATTTACAGTAATGCAACAGGAGTGATTCTGTCAGTCACAAAGTCGGCACAAGCTAAAGCAGACGGCTTTATTTTCTACTTTACTCTGATGTAGATGAGACTTCACAACGCATTCAACTAAAACCATAAACTCATCAGGAAGGCATTTAGGGTCAAAGATCAGGGACTCGACCCCTGCTGGTCATTATAGAGAACGCAGGTTTAAAGCACTGTCTAAGTTAAATTTTTTTATTTCAGTCAGATTTTATATTTAAAACACGCACATTCACAGAGCTCCTGACTTCCTCCTCCTGAAGCTTTAAAGCATGAGCCTTAAAGCTGTAGACTTCCCACCTGTTGCAGAATTCTCACATCTCTTATAGTTTTGTCTTGTTTTTAAGTAAACTGTCTTCTTTCAGTCCTCGCCTTCCTTTAAAGAACCAGATATGAAGTAGAGAGGAGCACTGACGCGCCACAGCTGTGTTTCACAGTCATTTAAGAGTTTCTGTGAAAGTTGAAGGGGGAGATCCCACTGTGTGCTGCGTGTCCTCTGTTCCGTTTTCTCTCCAATCACCAAACAGCTCGGAGTTTCTAGTTACTTTAGCTGCTGTTGCTATGGAGATGACACAAAGTTCTCACCCTGGATACTTGGTAGCAGTCACAGATGAGGCCAGTTCATAGCATAGTGATGCAGGTTCAGTCGGTTCCCCTCGGCTCTGTTACCATCGGACCGCAGTCCTGGCGCGAGGGTACGGTCCGCTCCATTCGGCTTGCTGAGCGCCTGGTCCGGCAGACTCGAGCCGGGCAGCCCGCTGCGTGCAGCCAGCCCCGGAGCGGCAGCAGCAGCGCCGCTGCAGGAGTAACCCTAAAGCGCTCAGACGGCACAGCGGAAGTCACATCCAGAGATAAGATAAGAGCGGAGGCGTGCAGACCGAGGAGTCGTGACTGCGTCTGCAACCAGAAGATATCAAGACCCCAAAGTGCAGGAGCCATGGTGAGACAAACGATCCACAGTGCGCCAGGGTGGTGTGAAAGCCCGAAGTTATAGATTTTAAAAATAAATATATGTAAACTATTCTAAACTAGCGTTCACAGTTACAGGAATCCATATGAAAACTGCACGAGTTTAAACTTCATTTCATATTGAATAATAATGAATAACTGTTTTGCTCTGTAATTAAGTCAAGTCAGCTTTATTTGTAGAGCAAATTTAAAAGACATCAAGTATCAGAGTGCTGAACAGAGGGAAGTGGAATAAAAACAAGGAATTAAGATAAATGAGGTAAAGAAGATGACAAAAAATCACATAAGCAGACTCTTATATACACTTGTCTATACAAGTATATATGTACACAAACATATAC